GGACTGACCGCAGCCCCGGCAAAGATTGCGCGTACATGTGCTGTGTCAAGATCAGGAAAAGAACGAACAGCTTTCATCCTGCACTCATCATATATGGCACCTGCACACTCAATAGCATCCACTTTGCTGGCTCCTCCATGACTCACGCAAAGCATGCTGGAGTGCTTTGTGAGTCGTGTGCACACCAAACGAAAATCATTTTGAAGGTCGTCGTGTGACCACTTCCAAGAAGAAGTTTCTTTCCACCCAAAAGTTTTCATGCCTAGTCCATCCTGACTTTTTCGGCCTAGGCGGAAGCCCGCAACGTTCACTGCAAGCACTAGTCCGTTACGAATGTACGCAAACAGCAACAAAAGAAGCACCAGCTGAACGCTCCCTTCTTTTGACTCGTTGGTGCAGATGCGGATGCAGATCCGCAAAGTCCGAAGAGACCGGCAGGTCGGCGGGCAACACAAGAATGCTGGACGGATTCTCCGGACAGCTGAACATTTAGAATTTGTGAAACTTGGTCGACAGAAAACAATACCCAAAACCCTTAACAACGAAGGATGTGATTTAACATCAGCTGGGCGGGGATGGCGTCTTAGCGATCCCGGACCACTGAGGCACATGTGGCTTGGATCTGGCAGGCAGTGCGGGAAGTGGAGCCATCACACCCTGACTGGGCAGAGGGGACACATTGGCCCAATCTGTCCAGCCAGAGCGCAGGCCACAACGAGTACGGGTGTGCGGCATGGAAGACGGAAGGAGGAGGGGAGGCGGCGGTAAATGTTCTCTTCGCGAGTAACGGACTAGCTCAAGCAGCAGTACCGGCCTGCGAGCCAAGACTGCGGGCGGGCAGACTCGCAGGCGTACATGCTACGCCGTTGCGTGCAGGCAGCAAACACCACTGTACAAGTACATACACGTTCAATGCAAGCACTAGTCCGTTACGAATGTACGCGAACAGCAACGCAGATCCGCAAAGTCCGAAGAGACCGGCAGGTCGGCGGGCAACGCAAGAATCAATTCTGGACGGATTCTCCAATGGTTTCAGGCTTCGGCTTGACCCGACAGGGGTACAGCAGCAGGCCAGCATTCTTCAAGCGGGAGCCAAATAGTCGGAAAGGTCCTTTTCCAGTGGGTATGTGCAGGTGCAGAATGAGGATGGAAAGGCTGCCCAGGGCACATCGCAACGCTCGGAGGGCTGGAAACCAAGCAAAGAAGGATCATAACCTCGGCTGAGGCCGTCCGCAAGATCGTTGCGGAAACCAGGCACATGGTCAATATGGACTGAAATAAACTGGCGCAAGAAGAAGGCACGCAGCAAGGAACTGAGGCCGCGCGCAAGCGAGAGGCCTTTCCAGGCAGCCGAGTCAGCGGCAGAGTTGTCGCAGCGGAAGGTCACGTGGAGAGGAGGGCGACCGGGCGGAAGCAGACAAGACAGCAGGTGCAGGAGACCACACTGGGCGAGCAACTGCCAGGCAGCTATGTAGTGCTGAGGAGGCTCGTCTGCAAGGAACCACGGAAAGAGTGCGTTCAGTTGCGACTGCGTGAATGTGTACTGAAAGAACAAGCACGCTCCAGATGGCAAACGCACAAAGCCACCAAGACCTGCGGAGGAAGATGATGCGCAGGCATCCGCGAAGGCTTCGCATTGAACATGTGGGGCCATGAGCAGAGCGCGAAAGTCAGTACCGGACTTGCAGATGTCCAACCAGAGAGACATGACGACACGGGATGCATCGGAAACGACGCGACGCGTGTGTGACAAATCAGAAATTTGAACCCACAAACGTCGACTGGACGGAGGGAAGGCAGGCAAATCTGACTTCTTGGAAACACTGTTTTGTGCAACACGGAAGAGGCGGGAACCGACCGGGGTCGCCGCGAGACCGCAGGGCGAGCGCACAACCAAATCTTCCGAAAGACATTCCGTCAAGCGTTTCCAGGCAGCAGGTGAGAGGGCGACGCTCACGAGTGGGGGGCAGTACTGGTCCTGATACAGAGGAGCCAGTGACGGCCGGAAGACACGGAACAAGTTGGAGAGCCAAAGCAACTTGCCAGTCAACTTCTCGAGGGTAGACGCCGGCAATTTGTTGCACTGGCGGGATTCGAAAAGGAGAGTGAGCAGGCGTTGAAGCTTCCCGGGCTCGAGGCGAACCGTGTAAGTGCGGAAATCGAACTGCCAACCGATCCAAACCACGGACGCGGAGAGTTTAGCTTTGTGCCAGCTCATGAGAACGACCAGAACGGAAGCCAGCAACCGGGCGGAGCTCTTTTCCAGCAGGCACAACAGATCATCAACGTAGATTAGCGCTGAGTGGCTCACCCACCAGACTCGGTGAATGAGACGTACAAGGAGTCCGGCTACGCGAGACCAGTAAAAACCAGATGCGCTGACGTCCAGGACCAGGGCACACAGTTGCTCACGAGAGTCAGAAAGCGGGAGACAGCGGCGCACATGCATAATGGTACGGTTAGAGGACGGGTTAGGAAGGCGGGTATTGGCGGTGACACCTGAGATGGAGCTGTCGACCACGAGACTCGGTGGACGAGATTCGGAAAGGACAAGACCGAGTTTCCCAACGGCGGAGTGGCGGAAACGGGTCTTGAGTTCCGTATCCCCACCTTGGACTTCACAGATACGATCTCAGGATGATCCAGAGGATTTCCAAGCGGACTCACAATGGCAAAGTTCTGGGGCCGGGGTGGTCGGTTCCGAGAGCGGACTCAGAACGGGGCACGGCAGGATCGGGTGAGCGAAACCCAACGGAACGCCATTGTGCAAGTGGGGGAACAGGTCCACATCAGGATCTTTAAATAACAAAGATAGAGCGTGCCAAAGGGAGATGCAGAAAGGCTGTCCTGGTGTGATTTGCAGCAGGTTTGCCCAAGTGTCGTCGGACTCGACATGCAGAAACGAGCGAAGGTCATCGAAGAAGGGCGTCAGCTGTTCTTGCGACAGCGGAGGAGCCTTGGCGCCGGATGAGATTGCGGACACAATCTTGTGGACAAGTCCGGAGTTGACAAGACGCTGCAGCCAGGCACGACGGAGCGGCCGGAAGAGGTTGTCGCCCTGGGGCGTGACGTGGTATGCGGTGCTCGAGCAGCCGGCTCCATCTTCAACAAGCAGGTGCTGAACGGGCCATGGCAACCTCGGCGGAAGAAGAGTGAGCCACTTATGTATAAACGGTGTTCTGCACGGATAAAAAAGGCACGCGCAGGGCAGCAATGGCTTCAGCCAGGGACTGGGGATACGTCGCTGTCAAGCGCGTGGACCAAGAGCCGTCCGGCTGACGGGAGTTTCGGAAGAACTTGTGGAATCCAGGCAAGTGCGGACAGGTGGACGCCAGGGCTGCAACACAAGGGCGGTTCGACCAGAAAAGCCAGCGCTTGTCGGCATCCAGGCTGTGGCGGCAAGCTGCAACGGAGGCACCAAACGGTGCGAAGGCGCGGATCCAAGCCATGACTTCCGGAAAGGCTCGACACGGGATTTTGGAGGAAAATGAGGCCTCCGCGACTGGCAACCAGAGATAGCATGTGGCGGGTGCGCTTGTGCAAACAGCTGGAGTCACGCAGTTCCGTTCGTTGGCGCTTGCTGAGGTTGGGCAGGCCAGTCGGGAAAGCAACAGTACGGATGGGGTCAGGGCCAGGGGCCCGCAACCGGGCACGAGAATATGAAGAGAGAGTCGGCAGAGGCCCGTGTACACGACATCATCGGACAGGCCCAATGCGGAGCCACACAACAGGTCCACCGCAGAGCAGATACGGCACAGTGCACGGGGGCGGACGCCCCAGAGAACAGGTCCAGGAAGAGGCGCGCAGCGGGAATGGGCGCCCCAGGGGCGTTGCATGGGGCCGAGGCGGCAGCACTTGCAGCTTTCGGAGCTGGGGGGTCCGCTGGTGCAGTCGACGTGATGGTGTGCGCATGCGGGCATGCGCACACGCGCACACACACACACACACACGCACATTGCGCAGATAGAACACAATCTCACAACGCAGGATACACACGACCACTCCACCCTCTGCTCTTTGACACTTTGAGAGTCTGAGTACCATGCCTTGCTGGCCTCCCCCTTGGCAAAAAGAACTCACTGCGCAAAGAGGTCTCGTGTTGCTCTCTGTATTGTGTCCCACCTTGGAGTGCGATGGCCGTCTCCGCCACTCCTCCGAGTGATGCTGCGTCTGCGCCTGCAGGACGGCGTCAGAACGTTGGAGAGAGCACATCCAACCTCTGGAAGGGGGGGGGGGGGGCCGGGGGGGCCTTTCGCCCTGCTTCAGTGCCCCAAGAGTGTGCAAAGTGCCTGCACCTTCCTTGGAGTTCTTGCAGATAGGCCGCTCCTCTTGAGCTGGCCCGAGCCTGAAGCGGTACAGGTTCCATGAGATGGAGAAGTCCTGACAGGTCTAGGGCCCTGGCGACCCACGATTCCCAGCGAACCTGTCCGAGGACAGAGGCTTCATCAGGCCCGACATCCGAGCACGTCTACAGAGTCTAAATGCATCTTCCCCCCTTCTTGTGGTCTTAACGGAAAGCGTGAATTAGGCTCCTGCTACTGGCTGCTACCGTTTCTTTGGTTCCCACATTGCTCAAGGCCTGAGCCCAGTTTGGCCTCCAAAAACGGAGATCCAGATGGCCATGCGAAGCAACTGCTCTCATCTCTAAAGCTATTGCGGGGCGCTTTGTTCGTTCGCGGTCACTGGCATTCGTGGGTTTGCACAGTGTTACGTGTGTAGTGCCTGCAGGCTCCCAAAGTGTTCCTTCAAGTCGGCCTGGGTCAGTTGCAACTTCGTGTCTGTAGGGAGGGCTCACTTAGCAGAAGCTCTCTCTCTCACATGCAGAGCCTCCCCCGAGAGGGAGCTGCGCCGAGGGGCACGCAATGGTCTCTATCTCTTCCTCCCTCCTTCCCTCCCTCCCTCCCTCTCTCTCTCTCTCCTCTCTCTCCCTCTCGCTCTCTCTCTCTCTCTCTCTTTTTTTTTTTTTTTCTCTCTCTCTCTCTCTCAGGAGCCCAGGAATCTGCCTTCGGCTTCATTCCCTGGAGGCGGACTCGGCAGTGAGCGCGCGGTCCTCATCTGGCAAGAAGATTCATAAGACCAAATCTGGAAAAAATGGCTTTTGAAATGACAGAGCTTTCATGGACTCGAGTAAAGTTCACGCTTTGTGATGTGAGGCTGTGGAAGCCGGAACTCTGCATGCCCCTGCCCCTATTCACCGAACATGCGCAAGGCCCCCCAGCCTGCTACTCATGTGCGCGCGGGGAATGTTCGCCTGAGGGTGTTAAGGGTCAGCAGCACAGTTGCACAGATCAACACAGCTCTACCAACTTGTGCGAAAGTATCAGAGTCCTCGCAAAATCCCTCCGGCCTCCGCGGCGACCCCTCTAGCGCCATGGCGCTCCGGGGTTTCTGTGGGTACTCTGCGAGGTTTTAAGAGATGCTGTCACTGTGCTCTGTCGCTGTGGCTGTTGCGCTCGTGCGGCGACAGTGACACAAGTGTGACGCATCAGTGGCATGACATGCCGACGTGTCCTCAGACTGTCAATTTGTCTAGCGCACATGATGTTGTTTGCGGGGCACCGATGTGGAATCGAAGCCGACGCACTGCGAGTGACTGCTGCCGTGCTGCAGGCTCAACAAGCAGGCATAAACCTCCACAACTGGCACAGTGCCCTTCAATGGCCCGGCTCTCGGCACGACTCCGCTGTTTAATGCAAACTTGGCCCAGGCTAATCAAGCTCGCAAAAGGCGCCGGGAACACGATGAGCTGCAAAGCACTTGCATGGTTTTGGGGGTTTTCATATAACTGGAGGTGGTTCGAGCTCGCCATCTGAGTCGAGCTTGGCCTCTTTGCAGCTCAAAAGTGCGAGAGCGCAGCGTATGTGAAGAGATTGCCGAGAGAGGAGCTCGTGTTCCTAGGTCCTAAGTAGGAGTGATCTTTGAGAGCTAGACTCCATATATGACCGCTTGACCCCAACCTGGGTCAAAGGGTCAAAGGGTCAAAGGGAGAGGACTCCTCTTCAAGGAGCCTTTGGAGACTATTCGACGGAGGGGGCTCTCACTCAGCTCCGGGTCTTGCACCTCTCGAAGCACAGATCAGAAGCCAAAAAAAATCCCTCCGCGGGATCCTCTTTGCTCCGACCCCCACAGGAAGATCTCGTAAGGCATCTGCGACAGTGGCGCCGCTGCCCAGAGTGGCGTGAAAGCCTGAACTGTTCCCGGGCAGAGCGCTCGGAACCAAAAAACGCTTAAGTCTTAAGAAGAACCAATCGGAAGTAAGACTAAGACCCATTCGTGGAATCCTGGAAGGCCTTCAAGAGGGTCTTCGAGCAGCCCCTGCTTACTCGTCGTCATCGTCGTCCTCCTCCTCCACAACTTTCTTGGCCACCTGCCAAAGCCGTGGAGATGAGGCTGTCTGAGGCCTGCAGAATGCAAGAGAGCAAGAGAGCGCGCCTTGGCCTTCTTCGCAGGCCTCTCCTCCTCCTCGTCCGAATCGTCGAAGGTCTGCTTGGTGCCTAATTGACAACGGCAAGATCGACTAGATTCCACAAAAGGACCATGCTAGCTGCTAGCAGAGCAGTGGCCTGTGGACTCGACCTGGCTTCCAGAGCGGACTACCAGGCTACCAGAGCGCAGAAGCGGAAACCGCGAAAAAATGTGAGAACGCAATCAGGGCCAGGCCATGGTTCCGTCCTTCCAAGATGCAACTCGACCTGTGCTTGCAGTGCGTTGCCGCATGCGTCCTTGGCCGCCTTGGTTGCAGAGCTCATCTTGCCCTTCTTACCTGGGCAGGCAACATGTCGCGACAGACCACGCCCTACTGACTCCTTCAGAAGCCTTCAGATACGGAGCAAGCCGGGTCCGAGCCTTTCCCTTTACCTTTGTCTTTGCCCTTGCCATCCTTGCCCTTGCCCTTGTCTTTGCCCTTTCCCTTGTCTTTGCCTTTGCCCTTACCTGCATCGGAAGCGCTTTCAAGTCACGAATCAAAACCGTGGGCCCAGGCTTGGGCACACTCATCTGTGGCATCGTGGCATCACATGTGGCATGATTTGTGTGCAAATAGACAGGGCTTCTCCACCGGAGTGCAGCGGGCAGCCCTGCACAAGGGCTATGCCACACCCTCTCAGTGACACACGTTGACACTCCTCCTGCTTGGAACACTTCACTGGTACGTGTCCATGCAGAAGCTGCAGTGAAATAGGGTAAGCTAGCGACTTAGTGACTTAGGAACACCGTGGTGCTCGGGGAGATCATCTTCATTTCAAGGAGAGTTCGATGATCTCGATGTCTTCGGAAAGCGCCGGTCGGAATTTGCCGGAGCTTGGAGAGCTCTCGGTGTCTTAAAGGCCACCTCGGCGCGCAGCCGGTGCTGCCCACCACGAGCCCTGTGCCCCCCCCCCCAATGTCTTCGAACGCCCCCCCCGAGCAGCAGGCAAAGGAGGTGCCGAGCATGCTGTCTTCCAAGAAACATGGGTCTGTACCAGCCCCACCCCTCCTCAGCTCCCTCCCCACCTCCGAAAAGAAACAAGTGATTTTGTTTTTGTTTGCCCACAGCCTGCAGGCTCATGGGCTTATTTTGCTTGAAGGGTTTGGCCCTAAACTCCCTGAAGCTGAGACTTTTTCATGGGCCCTCTACACATTTCGCACCTCTCAGATTTGAGGTGGTAGTCTCCGTCGCCCTTCGAGCGCTCGCCTGGCCTTCGCCTGCCTTGTTGACGTAGATCGTCCTTCCGTTGTAGTCCGTCTCATGGAACTCCAGGGCCTTCTTGACAGCCTCACAGTACGCATAGACTTTCAGAGAAGACTCAGCCACACCCAACCGAACCAAACTACGAGTGGATTAGGGGTGGATTAGGGTGGGGCGGTGCTGGAACTACTCGAGGTGCCTCTTCATCCTTGTACTCGATGAAGGCGATGCCCCTGAGTTGTCCGTCCTGACAACATTTTGCATAGGAGACCGCCATTAGCGCCCTTGCAGACCTGGCCTCATTCTTGAGACATCTGCACGAGACCACTTCACCACACTCGGCAAAGTCCTGGAAGAAATCTGAGAAAAGCTTCCTGTAGTGCTAACGCCTGACTCAATAGATCGGAAAAGCATGCCTCCGTTCCTCCCCTCCGGAGCAACAGCGGATTGCTTGCCGGTTTGATGGTGCGTTGCTGCATTGTGCATTTCGCATCTTTCAAGCCCTTGTCAACAAACCCACTGCTGTCCCGGAATGTTGCAGAGCGATTCTCTGTGTCGAGCGTGCGGCACGTACGGCATTTGCGCGATGCTCAGAGTGCCGCCTGCGTGGGAGCTCTGCACACTGGCCTGAACGAAGCGGACGTCGCTGAAAGAGGACTTTAACGAGGCCGCAATGGTCTACATGCCTCATGGTTCCATGCTGACGAGGTTGACGCAAGACCATGACTCGGCTCACCCTGCCGCAGCTTCGCCCACATTTCCGTCACTGGGCGGCTGTGGCAAAGTGTTGACAAGCCGACCAGGACCCGAAAGCTTTTGAAAGAAATGAGTATGAGAAGAGCCTTGGGACGGCCAGTGGCGTGCTAGAATCATGGGCTTGTAGCATGCCATGCTAGACACGGAGACGCGATGGATGCACCGATCATCGCGTGGCATAATGTTAAGCATTGATGGTTTGGTGCAGTGCTGGTGGGTGTAAGGGATGCCGGTTCAAGCCTTATGAACTGCACATGTGGCACTGAGCCACATCCACAATCCTTCTCGACGGTCTCGGGGTCCAGGGAATATGCTAAACCTCGTGCACTGTCAAGAAGCGCTTTTGTCTGTGCAGCTTCTTGGCTTTTGAATTCTCTCAGTGGTTCGCTGAGGACAGAGCCCTTGACGCAAACCGTGAGCTCGTCATTTTGGCCACCTCCTTTTCCCTTGCCCTTGTCCTTAGCCCAACCGACATAAACAGCACGAGAGTTGCCAAAACCTTTCTGGGTCCCGTGCCTTTCCTTTGCCCTTGCCTTTGTCCTTGCCCTTGTCCTTACCTGAGATTTTATGGCAAAGCACGGCTAGATGACTCTGACAACTTGCACCAGCCGAGAACAGGTGAGGACAGCAACAGGTATGTATTTTCAGCAATTTGAAGTGAACAAACTTCAGAGAGAAGAGAGAGAGAGAGAGAGAGAGAACATGAGAGCACGCTGCAGTTGAACGCTTCTTTCTTCTCTGCTCAGCGGCCTTTGCCCTTGCCGCCCTCCGAGGCCAGGTTCACCTCCACCGCTTTCGGGCGAGAAACGTTGCAACACATATTTGACTCACACTCGTGAAGACAGCCGCCATCAAAGGCGCGAAACCCAAACCTCGAAGTGAAGCGGATGCACCTTCAAGGTGCGGCCCCCGTAGTCGTCGCCGTTGTACTTGAGCGCTGCTTCCACACCTGGCTCAGCTCGGAACGCTCGGAATGCAGAAGCGCCGGAAGCACAACAAAAGCAAGGCAAAGCCAATGCCCTAATCTCTCTTTTCAGAAAAGGCTAGCGGGCTGAAACTGGTAGCTGGCTCTACCCTGGCGAGAGTATCGCATTGCAGCATTCTTGAGACTTGCTGACTGCTTGCAGCACGGAGTAGTCATGTTCGCATTCTTGTACGTGGCCTTCTTTCGTCTTGTAGGTGATGAAGGCGATGCCTTTGGGCCTGCCCTCGTCATTCTTTGGCATGCTAAACCTGCGCTCGGCACAAGCGGCTAAGGTGGCTTTCGCGCACTCAATACACCCTTTGCCTCGGTGCTAGTTATCTCCCAAGGGCCTGTTATGAACAGGGGCTTCTCCCTCCAGATCCAACCTAACAGACCAACCATACTACCACCCTCGAAAGCCAAGAACAAGGGCAAGTCTGTGAAGATCACACCCTCGCCTCTGTTACTATTAGACTGTGTTCATCTGGGTCTGTGATCTGTCTCCAAGACACTACGAACCCGCCCCTTGTTTGTCTCATATTATAAGGGGGGCTCCATGACTGCTTCACGGCTCTTTTCGGCATGCCCTTGATCATCTTTTTCTGGCTAGCTGTTGGGTTGCACAGCTGGGTTGATTCCGAGGGTCCCTTCAGCTGGGTCCTAAGGTTTTTAGTGGAATGACAGTAACGGGCCGGGGCTTTCGACCCGAGCGCCGGGCTTGACGATCTCTCCGCACTCTTCGAAGTCCTTTTTGACCTGCTCTTCACCTCATGCAAGGTACATCTGATTGGCTGGATACTGAAGGCGTAGCAACTTAGTCAGCGGGCTGGTCGAGAACGGCAAGCCGCCGACGAACACTTCGTTGGACTCCTCAACTGCGGAGGTCGCTAGATTCACCCTCACTTTCCGGCCAGTCTCCGCGTCCTTGCCATCGCCTGCTCAGCACAGAACTACAACTGACCACAACACTGCCTGACCTTCGATGCCTTCGCTATCAGCATCCGCGAGCTCTCTTCAAGGCAAGCTGCATGGCTGCACTATTTGTGCTAGATTCACTAGCTGCCAAGAAAAAAGATTGGTCTGTGCAAGGCAAAGTGCGTCGCAGCTGTGCAAGGCCCCCTCGTATGCGGGCCTTCGGTCTTGGCTTTCTTCGCCTGCGCGAAAACTAAGCCCAGTTTGCCCGCGTCGCGCGCCTTTCCGATGGCAAAAACGTGCAATCTCGCACCTTCGGAGGAGGCACCTCCTCTTCCTCCTCCTCCTCGTCATCGTCGTCCTCTTCCACTGCGGCCTGCTATGTGAAGTCCACAAACACAATATGTACATACATGTACAACTTACAACTATGCGTGTGAGTTCGGCAGCTGGCGGCCCTTGTGCCTTGGCTTTGGCCTTTGCTTTAGCTTTGGGCGCAGGCTCGTCATCGTCATCGTCGTCGTCGTCGTCGTCATCTTCTGCTGCAGCCTTGGCCTTGGGCTTTGCTTTGGCCTTGGGCTTCGGGGCCTCGAGCTGAATCATACGCATGTCCTATCCCGACACACCAATCTATGAAAACGCTCGACGTGAGTTTCGCATGTGCCAATTTCTTCGGAAGGCAGCTGTCGTGAACAACTACGCATGCCTACGCAACAAGTCGCTAAGCTCCCTGCTGGCTCGTCATCATCATCATCGTCGTCATCATCATCGTCATCGTCCTTTGCGGCGGCCTTTGCTTTGGCTTTAGCTTTGGCCTTTGCTTTCGGAGCCTGGGCCAGAAGGCGATCATGGAGCGGCAGGATATCCCAAGTCCATGCGTCTGGGTCCAATGCCGGCTCGTCATCGTCACTGTCCTCATCGTCGTCTACGGCGGCCTTTGCTTTGGCCTTTGCCTTGGCCTTTGCTTTAGGAGCCTAAGAAAACTGGTTGTAATCATGGAATCAGTATCATGCATCCAAGAGCTGCCACGCCAATCAGTCCATCTGAGGCCATGAACGGGCTCATCATCGTCGCTGTCGTCATCGTCATCTGCCGCCGCTTTTGCTTTGGCCTTAACCTTTGCTTTCGCCTTTGCTTTGGGAGCCTGGGCAGAGGCGATATTTAGCGGGTCGACGGGTTGCTTACCATCTGAGGCTGCTGCTGGCTCATCATCGTCGCTGTCGTCATCGTCGTCTGCTGCCGCCTTTGCTTTTGCCTTTGGCTTTGCTTTCGCTTTAGGGGCCTCGGCAGACAAACGATGAACTGAACTTGCATCTGGCACTCAACAGGTTTCTATAAGTTTCTGCTCTGCATCTGAGGTCAAGTGCGGGCTCGTCGTCGTCGCTGTCGTCATCGTCGTCTGCCGCGGCTTTTGCTTTCGCTTTAACCTTTGCTTTCGCCTTTGCTTTGGGAGCCTGGGCAGAGGCGATATTTAGCGGGTCGACGGGTTGCTTACCATCTGAGGCTGCTGCTGGCTCATCATCGTCGCTGTCGTCATCGTCGTCTGCTGCCGCCTTTGCTTTTGCCTTTGGCTTTGCTTTCGCTTTAGGGGCCTCGGCAGACAAACGATGAACTGAACTTGCATCTGGTACTCAACAGGTTTCTATAAGTTTCTGCTCTGCATCTGAGGTCAAGTGCGGGCTCGTCGTCGTCGCTGTCGTCATCGTCGTCTGCCGCGGCCTTTGCTTTCGCTTTAACCTTTGCTTTCGCCTTTGCTTTGGGAGCCTGGGCAGAGGCGATATTTAGCGGGTCGACGGGTTGCTTACCATCTGAGGCTGCTGCTGGCTCATCATCGTCGCTATCGTCATCGTCGTCTGCTGCCGCCTTTGCTTTTGCCTTTGGCTTTGCTTTCGCTTTAGGGGCCTCGGCAGACAAACGATGAACTGAACTTGCATCTGGCACTCAACAGGTTTCTATAAGTTTCTGCTCTGCATCTGAGGTCAAGTGCGGGCTCGTCGTCGTCGCTGTCGTCATCGTCGTCTGCCGCGGCTTTTGCTTTCGCTTTAACCTTTGCTTTCGCCTTTGCTTTGGGAGCCTGGGCAGAGGCGATATTTAGCGGGTCGACGGGTTGCTTACCATCTGAGGCTGCTGCTGGCTCATCATCGTCGCTGTCGTCATCGTCGTCTGCTGCCGCCTTTGCTTTTGCCTTTGGCTTTGCTTTCGCTTTAGGGGCCTCGGCAGACAAACGATGAACTGAACTTGCATCTGGCACTCAACAGGTTTCTATAAGTTTCTGCTCTGCATCTGAGGTCAAGTGCGGGCTCGTCGTCGTCGCTGTCGTCATCGTCGTCTGCCGCGGCCTTTGCTTTCGCCTTTGCTTTGGCTTTGGCCCGCTTTGGTGCCTGGGCTTGTGCAATTTCCGCCGACTGATTTCATGAGCGACATTGGCCTGCTTTGGTGCATAGTGTATAGCGGAGGCTAACTCAATCTACGCACCAACTGACACACCTGCTCCTCCTCCTACACATTTGTAATCTGTGTGGGGAGGGGGGCGTCCCGAAAACAATGCGTGGGCTGAGGGGGTCGAGCATTCGACCCTGTCGGCTTCTAGATTCCTCGCGCGAAGGCCTGGCCAGGAAGTTGGGCTCTAGCTGATTCTTCCTGATCCTTAACGAAAACTAATCAAAAAGAGCACTTCAGCACGTAGCTAAGTGAAACTAAACTCAGGGCGTGTCTTTAACTTATGAAATTGGCGCCGAATCCATGTCCAGCACTCTGGTTGACAAGCAATATAGCCACATTGCCTTTGCGGGCTCTTCGGGATATTGTGAGTCAAGCGACACACTGCTTTGAGTGCACAAAGGAACGAAGACGCGAAATGAGAGAGAGAGAGAGAGAGTTAGAAAAAGATAATGACAGAGTTCCGGAAAGTGCGTTTCCAAAAGGCGCAGTGGGGAGCACCCACTTTTGCAGGATTTGAGGCCGCGAAACCTAACACTTGAGCCCCGGAGGGGAGGCGACGAAAACTTTAGTGTAGGAGGGCGGGCACGGAGGGTTTTTGTCGAACAAGCACAGCAATGCCGTTAGCAGCTACCTTCCTGACTTACAAACAGTTTGCCAGCGCCGATTGAGATTTCGGGGCCCTCGACGGAGGGAGGTCACAGGAAAGGTTTTCGTTCGCCCGCCGGCACCGTTATCATGTTACAAATGTTGGCGCTTTTTCATGAACCTGCTGAGCGGGAAGCCTGCACAGAGTCTGCACTGCTAAGTGTGGCATTACTAAGACCCTGCGTGTGCTTGAATCAAAGGCCAACTGGGCAGTCCTCGAAATGTTGGTCTTTTTGCGGGCAATCCTGAATCGAGGGCCTGGTTTATGGGAGTCTGCTGGAAGGAGGGTGCAGGTCACACTCTAAATCCCACCCCCCCTCCCACCCCCAACAAAACAGACTCGAATCGCGCTACTTTAGGCTCCCCCCGCCCAACCCCCACCAGACCCCCGAAGCCCCTGAGCCTTCTGGCAGAACAAGTTCGGAACGAGGAACGAAAGGCTCTCTTAGAAGAGCTTTCGTGACAACTGGTCTTCCTTGCTTTCTGACTCGTCCTTTGGCGTTTTCGACTCGATTTTCTGACTCGACCCTCACCCGTTCAGTCGGCGCCAGGAGCATCCTAAGGAAGGCTGCATACTCTGGAACAGCATGGGCCCAGCATGGGCCCAGCGTGGGCTCAACATGGGCTCAACTGGGCTCTGCGCCGGCACCTCATCCTCGTCCTCGTCCTCGTCGTCGTCCGGAATCTTGGCCTCTGCCGCTTGAGACGCCAAGGGGTCCCACATATGCCATAAGGTGGCAAAGGTGTCGCAAAGGGTGTCAGAGGAGCCTTCTTCTTCTTCTCCAAAGCAGAAAGCTTTGACTTGGCCATCTTGACTGCCTGCAGAAGAACACTCAGAGCAAGCACGCCTTGGGGCACGCCTTGCGAAGTTGCAGAGCAAAGGCTTGCCAGCGCCTGCATGGACGACACATCCTCCTCCTCCCCACCTCAGAAGTACAGCACGATTTCAAAGAGAGACGGCAGCTCTGCATTCTTACGGCTGTTAGCACTGCTAGCCTAGCCCATGTGTTAGTATGGTGACCGATGATGACAGGTCTCAGCACCTGTCATGAAGCGTGGTTATGGGCGGTGCCCGTGCTGTCATTCCTCGTTCTTCGCTTACTATGCAGCTCGGGTTCTCTGTGTTGATAGATGGCGTCTAGAAGCCTAGTTTCGCCCCTTCTCGTTTGACAGTGGTCGCATCTACCCCAAAACCAGTGACCTTCCATGTGGTGGCTGTATGCTGCCTCGCAAGCCTCACCCTTGAGCGTGTTGAAATTCACGTGTGCTGGGCTTGCACTGAATTATCTCGATGGCTCACGTTTTGCTTGGCAGAGCCTTTGCAGGGCCTTCGCGTCGTGTTTTGTGCTCTCTGAGTCGGGTGCCTGCGCTTTCCTCTGCCGCCTTGCGCTTGCCGTCCTGCCAGTCGCCAGCAGAAGCTAACAAGCAAAGTTACAAGTGCTGCATCCCAGCGCAGGACTCCGACACACTCGAACGAGAGCGCCTTCTTTCCTTTCACGACCATCTCTGGTATTTCAATGTTCTGTGGCCTGGGGAAAGTCAGGGCCAACGACAATGCAGAACAATGCAGGGGGGAAACCCATCAAAAGAAACCTTTTCCATAACAAAAAGTTTCAGAAAGCAATCAGGAAACTTACCAAAAAACACTTCTTACAACAACAACAACAACAACAACAACAACTTTCCTTGGCCAACTTTTCATTCAAACTACACTCTCCTGGAGATGGCCTCGCCAAAAACAAAAAAGATCCCTTCATGGAAATGCAAAATGCGAGAAACTGTCCTCGTTTTTGGACGCCCGACTTTCCGTTTGGCTTTTGAAACGTCGCCGTTGGACGTCCGGCTCGGGTGATTGCTAGTGCTATGATATATGGCGTGTCGCAAGCATGCACAGTAACAATTGGTACTCGGAGAAAATTTCTGAGGAAGTTATGCTAGTAATTAGTCTTGAGTTTCTGAGGAGGGTTTCGCTGCAATTGCTGCATGTCTTGAATTTCTGAGAAAGGTTTCGTTGCAATTGCTACATGTCTTGAATGTCTGAACTTCTGAGGAAGGTTTCGTTGCAAATTGCTACGTGTCTTGAATTTCTGAGGAAGGTTTTGTTGCACTTGCTACATGTCTTGGATTTCTGAGGAAGGTTTCGCTGTAAACGCTACTAGTCTTGAGTTTCTGAGGAAGGTTCGTTGCAATTGCTACATGTCGTGAATTGAAGAGTTAGGTTTAGTTGCAACTGCTGCATGTCTTGAGTTTCTGAGGAAGGTTTCGTTGCAATTGCTACCCGGCTTGAATTTCTCAGGAAAATCTTGTTGCAATTGCTACATGTCTTAAATTTCTGAGTTTCTGAGGAAGGATTCGCTGCAAATTGCTTCGTGTCTTGAATTTCCGAGGAAGGTTTCGTTGCAATTGCTACATGTCCTGAATTTCTGACGAAGATTTCGCTGTAAATGCTACAGTCTTGAGTTTCTGAGGAAGGTTTCGTTGTAAATGCTTCAAGTCTTGAGTTTCTGAGGTTCGTGGCAATTGCTACGTGTCTTGACTTTCTGAGGAAGGTTTCGTTGCAAGTGCTACTCATGTTGAATTTCTGAGGAAGATTCTGTTGTAAATGCTACTAGTCTTGAGTTTCTGAGGAAGGTCTCGTCGCAATTGCAACTCGGCTTGAATTTCTGAGGAAGGTTTCGTTGCAATTGCCTACTCGAAATGAACTTTGAGGAAGGTTTCGTTGCAATTGCTAGATGTCTTTCATTTCTGAAGCAGGTTTCGTTGCAATTGCTACTCGGCTTGAATTTCTGAGCAAAGTTTCTCTGTAACTGCTAGTGGTCTTGAGTTTTTGAGGAATGTTTCGTTGCAATTTCTACATGTCCTGAACTTCTGAGGAAGGTTTTGTTGCAATTGCTACATGTCTTGAATTTCTGAGGAAGGTTTCGCGATAAATGCTACTAGTCTTGAGTTTCTGAGGAAGGTTTCGTTGCAATTGCTACATGTCTTGAATTTAAGAATCAGGTTTAGTTGCAACCGCTACATGTATTGAGTTTCTGAGGAACGTTTCGTTGCAATCTTGAGTTTCTGAGGAAGATTTTGTTGCAAATCCTACATGTCTTGAATCTCCGAATTTCTGAGGAAAGTTTCGTTGCAAATTGCTTCAAATCTTGAGTTTCTGAGGAAAGCTTTGTTGCAATTGCTACTCAGCTTGAATTTCTGAGCGAGGTTCTGCTGGAAGTGCTACTCGTCTTGAGTTTCTGAGAAAGGTTTGTTGTAAATCCTACATGTCTTGAGTTTCTGAGGAAGGTTTCGTTGCAAGTGAGACATGTCTTGAGTATCTGAGGAAGGGTACGCTGCAATTGCTACTCGGCTTGACTTTTTGAGGAAGGTTTCGTTGCAATTACTACTCGACTTGAATTTCTGAGGAAGATTTTGTTGTAATGCTACGTGTCTTGAAGTTCTGAGGAAAGTTTCGTTCCAATTGTTACATGTCCTGAACTTCTGAGGAAAGATTCGTTGCAATTGCTACATGTCTTGAATTTCTGAGGAAGGTTTCGTTGCAAGTGGTACATGTCTTGAGATTCTGAGGAGGGTTTCGCTGCAATCGCTGCATTTCTTGAAATTATGAGGAAGGCTTTGTTGCAATTGCTACTCGGCTTGAATTTCTGAGAAGGGTTTCGTTATAAATGCTACGTGTCTTGAAGTTCTGAACACAGGCTTCGTTGCAATTGTCACACGTCTTGAATTTCTGAGAAAAGTTTCGCTGTAAATGCTACAGTCTTGAGTTTCTGAGGAAGGTTTCGGTGTAAATGCTTTAAGTCATGACTTTCCGAGGAAGGTTTCGTTGCAACTGTTACTCGGCTTGAACTAAGAAACAGGTTTGCTGTCACTGCTACTAGTGTTAAGTTTCTGCGGAAGGCTTCGTTGCAATTGCTACATGTCTTGAGTTTCTGAGCAAGTCCTGTTGCAATTGCTACGTGTCTTGAATTTCTGAAGAAGGTTTCGTTGCAATTGCTACTCGACATGAACTTTGAGGAAGGTTCGTTGCAATTGCTTCTCGAGTTGAGTTTTTTGAGACAGGTTTCGTTGCAGCTGCTTCTCGGCTTGAATTTCTAAGGTTTCGTTGCAATTGCTACATGTCTTGAATTTCTGAGGAAAGTTTCGCTGTAATTGCTACTATTCTTGAGTTTGTGAGGAAGGAAGGTTTCGTTGCGTTTGCTTCTCGGCTTGAATTGCTGAATAAGGCTTCGCTGTACATGCTACTACATTTGAGTTTCTGAGGAGGGTTTCGATGCCTTTGCTACGTGTCTTGACTTTCTGAGAAAAGTTTCGTTGCAACTGCCCCTCGTTTTGATTTTCGGATGAAGGTTTTGTTGTGAATGCTACGTGTCTTGGGTTTCGGTGCACTATTCGCATTTCTTGAGCTTCTGAGGAAAGTTTCGTTGCAACTGCTATATGTCTTGGAAGTACATGCTGGTAGTCTTGATTTTCTGAGGAAGGTTTCGTTGCAATTGCTACATGTCGTGAATTTAAGAGTCAGGTTTAGTTACAACTGCTACTCGGATTGAATTTCTGAGGAAGTTTTTCACTGTAAATTCTACTATCTTGAGTTTTAGGTTTCGTTGCGATTGCTGCAACTCTTGAATTTCTGAGGAAGGTTTCTTTGCAATTGCTACATGTCTTGAGCTTCTGAATTTCTGAGGAAAGGTTCGTTGCAAATTGCTTCGTGTCTTGAGTTTCTGAGGAAGGTTTCGTTGCAATGGCTACTGGAAATGAGGTTCTGAGGCAGGTCTTGTGACTGTTACTAATTGCTACATGGCTTGGGTTTCTGAGGAAGGTTTCGTTTCAATTGCTACATGCCTTGAATTTCTGAGGAAGGTTTCGTTGCCATTGCAACGTGTCTTGAATTTCTGAGGAATGTTTTGTTGCAAGTGCTGCTCGTCATGAGCTTCTGAGGAAGGTTTTGCTGTAAATGCTTCTAGTCTTGAGTTTCTGAGGAAGGTTTCGTTGCAAGTGGTACATGTCTTGAGAGTCTGAGGAGGGTTTCGCTGCAATCGCTGCATTTCTTGAAATTATGAGGAAGGTTTCGTTGCAATTACTACTCGGCTTGAATTTCTGAGGAAGGGTTTCGTTATAAATGCTACGTGTCTTGAAGTTCTGAAAAAGGCTTCGTTGCAATTGTCACACGTCTTTAATTTCTGAGGAATGTTTCGCTGCACTTGCTTCATGTCTTGAGTTTTTGCGGAAGGTTTCGCTGTAAACGCTACTAGTCTTGAGTTTCTGAGGAAGGTTTCGTTGCAATTGCTACTCATGCAGAATTTCTGCAAAAGGTTGCGTTGCAGTTGCTGCATTTGTTGAGTTTCTGAGGCTTCGCTGTACATGCTACTAATCTTGAGTTTCTGGGGAAGATATTGTTGTAAATGCTACTAGTCTTGAGTTTCTGAGGAAGGTTTCGTTGCAATTGCTACGTGTCTTGACTTTCTGAGGAAGGTTTCGTTGCAATTGCTACTCATGTTGAATTTCTGAAAAAGGTTTCGTTGCAGTTGCTGCATTTGTTGAGTTTCTGAGGCTACTAATCTTGAGTTTCTGGGGAAGATTTTGTTGTAAATGCTACTAGTCTTGAGTTTTTGAGAAAGGTTTCGTTGCAACTGATACTAGTCTGAAGTTTCTGAGCAATGGCTACATGTCTTAAGTTTCTGAGGAAGGTTTCGTTCCAATTTCTACATGTCCTGAAATTCTGAGGAAGGTTTTGTTGCAACTGCTGCATGTCTGAGTTTCGGAGGAAGGTTTTGCTGTAAATGCGATTAGTCTTGAGTTTCTGAGGAAGGTTTCGTTGCAATTGCTACATGTCGAGAATTCAAGAGTAAGGTTTAGTTGCGTTTGCTACTCGGCTTGAATTTCTGAGGAAGGTTTCGCTGAAAATGCTACTAGTCTTGAGTTTCTGAGGACGGCTTAGTTGCAATTGCTACTCGGCTTCATTTCTGAGGAAGGTTTTGCTGTAAATGCTACTAGTGTGGAGTTTCTGAGGAAGGTTTCGTTGCAATTGCTACGTGTCTGTAATTTCTGAGGAAGGTTTCGCTGTAAATGTTACTCGTCTTGAGTTTCTGAGGAAGGCTTCGTTACAATTGCTACTTGTCTTGAATTTCTGAGGAAGGTTTCGCTGTAAATGCTGCTCGAATTGAATTTGTGCGGAAGGTTTTGTTGTAAGTGCTACTGCTCTTGAATTTCTGAGGAAACCTGCTTCTGAGGAAGGTTTTCTTGCAATTGCTAATTACGTGTCTTGCATATCTGAGGAACAACACCATTTGACCCTGTTTGTGAACGGTTAGAGACAGACATCATGCTGCGTAGACATCCAGTATCAACAAAAGGTAATGCAAATTTTGAAGGTTTTGCCAATGGCCATCATACGTGATTGTTAACATGTAAATAAAGTAGTACTTCTGTCAACAGGTTCTGCTGATGTGCAATCATGCAGTGTGCTTTTTGCAAGAATTAACTTGTTCGGCGCATGTTGTATCTGTA